GGCAGTGCATCTGATCACGTACTGGTTAACTGTGCTAGGAATTGATCATCGTGTTTAAATGGGTTTCCATCTTTGTTAATGTGTTTGTGTCGGATGGCGAACTTCCGCGAGAATCTAACTCTAGATGAGAAGGAGGGTGATCACCGACTAAACTTTCATTGTTTGTTAATTTTTTCAGGATGCTTGTTTTATCGTGCTTGTCGCCTGATGTGTTGCCCAACAATAAGCTAATTAGGGGCCTCATAGCAATGCCCTCTTCCTGTCTGTAGATGACCTTGTGAATTGAAACCGCGAATTATGCGTGTGTGGGGTCTAATGTTTTTTGTTGGACGCTCGTGTCTAATCCCTCCAGTACGATAGGCGTTATTTTATACGATCACCGTCGCAATCTCTGCATACGCTCGTGACGCAGCCGGCATCACTCTGCAACGTGAATTCTTCTGGGCTTTTCGATGATTCACTTTGGCTGGGAGGAGTGAAACACTAGGCCAACTCCCTATCAGAGTTAATTAATTCCCCGAAATTGAAATCCGAGTTTAGGTGAGGAGTTAGGTGAATAATCCATATAAGAAACCTGTTACAAACATAGCCAAACGTAACCACACAACCTTCCCAAGTTCTAAGGAAAAATGTTCTGGAAAAGCTTTCTGCTAAACCAAGGTGCGAAACTGTTATGGAAACTGCCCAGCCCACAGCCTTTTCTCAACACAATAAGAATGGAATAAAGCTAGAATGTTATTGGTATTCTTGAGCGTTGAGCTAGGTTTATGGGCATTGGAGTTGTGCACCGTGTTTCATGGAGGGGAAATGCCTTGCCGCTAGTCAAATACATCCAGTCAAGTATTAAACTTATGGGCTGCACTGGCGAGCGCTACTTTTGCTCTCATGGTTTGACTTCCAGTTTTGTTCATTAAATTCCGCCGTCCGAAACAACAAGCCATCCAAGACATATAAAGGAGCAGTGAACAAACAAATCCAAGTTATTGGTCGTTCGTTTGGTCTGCGTCACTTGTACACTTCTCACAGGACATGTTAATTTAACCATGCGTGCACTACTCGTTTGATGTGGTGTTTGTTCCGAATTTGCTACTCACTGGGATAACTAAGCTTTGAGCAGATCACGTGTCGAGGGCATAGGCCAAACATGGCCAGGGACAAAACTATCCGAAAAAGGAACGGATTTCAGTGGGCAACAAAAGAACAAGGACCTCACCAAATTTGTCGTTTTTCACAATTTTTCCGGACAAAACTTGTGAACAGGCAATTTCTCTAGTGATAAACAAAAAACAAACACCGATCGCATTTAACTCGCGTTTTCGGGTAGTTACTCTTCAGCCTTCGCCTCAGCTTAGTAGTTCGGCCATTCCACACTTTCTACTTGATTCGCCGGCTGTCAATTACACATGTTAGTTATGAGATATTCCAAAGTTCTACACTTCGGAGTTCACACTGTCTACACTTAGACATAAAACCTTAGCATCACCGAAATTTTCTTTGGGTTGTAGGTATGCTGTGTAATTCTAAAGCACACGCTAGTTTATGATATCACACCGATCAGAACGATAGTTTACTGTAGGCTAAGCTAAAAGATATATCTGAAGCAGGTTATCTCTGGACCATGGATTATGCTTGTGTAGTACGATGTTCCGATGCTCTGCATGGAAAGAATAACATGAAAACCACAAAGTTATTTTATGTCAGAAAGTTCGTCCTGAAAGTGAAACCCCTCTATGCTGAAAGGCTGAGTAGCGCTGTACGGCTGTTGCATCATCTGCATTTCTTTCTGAGTAACACAAGTACTCCGTAATTCGGGCTAAATCGATTGACTGGAACACAACGGAGCAGGCTTGATGCCTCCCTGGGACTTTTATTTAAGACCACCGCTAAACTGGCTTGATGGGGTTGGAGCAAGGAGGCCACCAAAAGCGTGGTAAAGAGTTTTCCAGGACTCACTCACGTTTCCGTCTCCCATTGTGTGCACCTGTGCCTGAGCAGCATATAAACGTATTTTGGCGAACGGTATACGATACACGCAGTTAAGTCTATCCTGATGGAAAGACTACATAGAAACATCTTGGCGTAAGTTTCTCACATGAGCGCACAATTTTGCTTGTATCCATACAAGTAGAAAAAGCAAATTGTGAGCTAAGTAGGAAGGTCATTTGGAGCTTCGTTTCGGTGTATAACCTCCACTTAAGTCTCCACACCGAGCAGTATAACGTGATTGACATCGCGCAAATTATGAAGTCGAAAGTGATTTGAAATCACTTTCAATCGATAAACCTACCTTTTTGTGACTACGGTCTATTTGTGTAGAAGCCTAACAACGTACTGTTCGCTTTTCTTTGATGTGTTTTAATGGCAGCTGGACCTTCTGCCTTTCGTGAGGCACTCCGAATATCCGACCAAAATGAACGATGATTTACGATATATTTGTGTTGAAAGAGATCTATGACTCAACCTACTCGGACGTCCTATCAGCTTTGAGTAGTTTTTTAAAAGTTTCTCTTTACAACCACCGGTCCACGTGTATAAGCACCAGTTATTTCTCAGGAGCGACGATACCTTACTTCTCCAAACCTATGTGCCTTGGATTCCTGCGTAATGGTGCTTGAGACAAAAAACAGAATGAGATTCTTGTTTGAGGTTTGTAGGCAGATTCCGCCCGAAATATTGGACAACAGTTTGACTGCTCACTGATCGATGGACGTATGGTGTTTTAGGCATCCCACTGAAATAAACCAACTGAACCAACACAGTCGCATTCTCAACCTAAACGATGCAACTGGATTGTAACCAGACCAAAACGAAAACGGTAGGCTGACAGACATGTAAGCTGTTTGTGGTTCCGTGCACCGATGAGGCTAAATGGAAGCTATTAGTAGGCGGTTTACTCAGGTTATGCATTGAACGGAATTCCTTTTACGTGAGTAAAGTGAGGACCACACTAATTGATTCCAGTCCTAACGCTTCCGACCTGGTATTCGGAAAGAATAATTTTGCGTAGGTCATTCAAGCAAACGTTTGTCTGTGACTATCGTGAGACTACGAAAGGAACCAAATAAGGATGGCATGTTGCAAGAACAGATTTAATACAATCCTAAGCACGATGTATCGCCTATCCAGCAAACCCAATCGTTCATTTGCTCTAAACTAATTTAGCTGTCAAATTTTGCAAAAATTTCAGATGAAATTCACTACGTATAAAAACATTAGTTTTCGCAAATCCTTTATCTCGTGGTGATAACATTTGGAAGGAGAATCTCGCAAGAATGCTAACACTAAGAAAGTGCAAACAAACATCCAGAATACTCAACGCATTGCATAGTCTGCTTTTTTACCGGCGGTCTGTAGTCCACTTTCGATGGTATTCAGAAATCTAATTGATCTACTTCTCTATGAGCTCCAGCCGATTCTGTCGATATACGCCAGCGTGAAACTTTTAGGAGGCTTGGGTTTTGAAGGTACAACCAAGTACCACTATATAGTTTGTGAATTTAATGATCATAGATGTCATGGAGCTTTCAACCAATGTGTCATTTCTTGACGCATACGTAGAAGATGCTCGGATTGAAATCGGACCGCGTTTGAGCCTCAATCATCACGTTAGATTCATTAGAATACCTTTTAAGAACACAGCATTCATTTTGTAGGGAAAAATGACAAAACTTTATGCATTTATTTATTCTTACTCTATTTTAATCTCCCGAGGGAAAGAGTACTTATCACTCTGCCAGATCTGTGGTTGAATTTCAAGCTGCCAACAATCTTGAAACTGTGACGTCGAATATAGTGAAATAAAACCCAAAGAAGCCATGTTATCGTTAGATGTTTAGGGACGTTAGTCTGATTGTATAGTCAAAACAAACCTCAGACGGTCCCGTCCCACCAATGTTAGCTGACAAACCTTCCTCATCAGAGACCATATGGTTACTAATAAGAACCAACCCAGCAGGAAACTCGTTAGACAAACAATGAAGGTTGTACGAATCAAGCACTGGTACTAGGTCGTTTGTACACGTTCCAATAGAGTCACAAAGAACTTCACTTCAATAACAGCAAGGAATGAAGATCAGTGGTATCCGTAAATGTGGTGAAGTTGCGCGCTCACCATATGCTTCTTTGATACTCTCCTCAGGAGCCTCTCACTCTGGTCTGCTTGATCTGTCAGTCAGTAAATCGGTAATTCTCCATGAAAGGTAGCACTTAAAATCACATGAGTGGAGTACCTTCCAGAGAAAAACACTCAAGGAGAAGCCTGCTTTCAAGAACAACGAATAAGATGAATTTCTAGTCAGGGTATCACACAAACGGATAGCAACATCCTTACTTTCGGGGACTTTCACATTCCGCCTATCCGTGAATAAATCGTACTCTGGTGGTGGACAGTGAGGATCAACTATCACTTTAACAGCCGAAATATGTATATTTCTCCATGAGGTCCGCATCAGGGTATACATCAGTCGACCGGGGATACACATAGACCATTGGTCGCTTGTACCCACCTACATAATCTGTTGTATATGCTTGGGCTGGTGTGCAGTTGCCATAGACAGTAGGCTATGGACCAAAAATATCACTTTCTCATCATGTTGACACGCTTCTGGTGGTGAACAAAGTGCCTTTTATGAGGCGCTGTAAGCTTGATACACGCAAATACAACGAAGTTCCTGGGGATTAGCTATCCCTATCATAGCAAACTGGAATGTATGCCTAACTCTACCAAGTGTGTTCTAAGGATTACATATTTCAGGAGGGCGAGATGGCCCAAGTGGTTAGAGCGTGAATTCACCGACCCGAAGGTCCGTGGTTCGAACCCGACACCTGACACTCGACTTCCCTTGTCTAGGCTTGGGCAACCTGGCAGTATCCCAGCCCTCGCGCTTCCTCCGGGTGGCACGGCAGCTAGGCACCGGAAAGGTGTTATAGCTGAACGATTTTTTTCGATTACATATTTCAGGACAGAATTTTGGGGAAAAAATCAATGAAGGGCTCATCATTCAGCACTGTGTTGTACGCCGTGACAGTAGCTTACTCGGAGGAAGTGAATGTATCCAATAATCTAGCGAGCCGCTACTTGTAAGATTGAACAGAGACAGTTGGAGCTTGGTTGTTGGGCGAACAAGTCTTCTTCGGAGCGACTGTCAGTACCATCCTACGAAACCTGTTCCCACTTCACCCACTAATCAAACCACATGTATCAGAAATATACTCCTAATAAATTTCAAACTTTATGAAACTAATTCAAATTCACGAAGTGTACACGTTTGTTGTGTACATTCGTTGAATCGCCATGTCCATCGAGGCTGGAAGAAAAGCCCACACCCATTGTCCTCAGACAACCGTTAGATCTTGCTTTGAGCCACACTGAACAACAGTATTTGTATTCGGGTTTGTTCGTGGCATATTTCCACAGACTACTTGAAAGACTCAAAGGATTACTACGGACAAATGCTTAAAAATGTTTTAGGGGAAAATGTGGTCATCCCAGTTTTGCCAATCACTTGCAAAATGCGATCTCATTCATACCTTAACACTGACTTTCCCGGTCACAACTGTGTTTTATTCGGGAGCGCTTAGGCTTTACTCAGTTTTGCATTGTTGGGGGCTGTATTCGGACTGGCGCTGCTAGACACAAACATGAGCAACATCGTGGAGAAGAACATGTGGCATTTGTCGCATCATCCACGATGGTGAGACCCTTCTTATCAACAGCAAAGTGTGTACCTGAAGGGGAGAAACTCAACAAGACTTTGGAGAGTGATCTGCTTCCGCTACAGCCATGGTAACTGTTTTCGCTTACTTCTTTTTCATAGGAGTATGGAGGATTTATCGATTGAGATGACACGGCTACGCCCCACATTCTACCTGCCCATATCATCCTGGTGAGGGAAAACCGAAGGAAAGTGGAAGAATGATGATGTCAGAAGTAAACAACATCTTGTTGCATCTGGAGTGTTTTTAGATAGAAACTCAAGACAAGTGGAGCATATTTAGGATGCTTTGGAAATAGTCTGTAAACTGGTGCCTTGTGCGGGCTTGCACATTGACCTGTACCTGTGTCCTCAGAAGTGGGTCACTTCTTATGCTTGCATTATGTTACGCAATAGCTCACTAAAACACAAAATTAAGCAAGCCTTTCAACTGCTGATGGTAGTAACACCTCAGAGGATAACGCATTCAAGCCCAACTATATTCAGCAGAAGATACGGTCAGTGTTCACGTAATCGAAGTTACGGCAATATTGGTTGTGATTTTTTGGATCTTAATAACCATTTAGCAGGTAATCAGCCGTTTTATGCTGCAAAAGACTCAACTGGCTAGCCTTCTATTGCTGGTTAGTTGTGTGTCCATATAATTTGTGAACCTGAAACAACCAATCAGATAATGATGTCATTTTAGAAAACTCCAACAGCCAAATCGCTGCAGCCCTACTTAACAAATTAACATATACGTTTGTGATATTCGCCACAAACGAAATATTTTGTGGAGAAAGGAACTGTTTGACTAGAATAACGAAAAACAAGTCAAGAAGAATGAACTTCATTTTGGAATATTATCATCATCCATCATATCATCTTTGCAAGTATTTCCAACTTTTTGACGAATGCGAGGGAATCGAAGAATTCTCATAGCAGAATGACAAACACAACAGATATCGCCTTAGCAGCAACAAAACAAGAGAAGGAATGGACCTCAAACGCAATTTTCTACCAGATTTCTCCAAGGAATTCTCGTAATGTCACCACAGCTGAACTTCATTGTCTATAATCAACAGTGTTTGTTGAGATGCATTTTTTACATACCCATGTACTGTCATAATTAGTAGCTTGGATTCGTTTTAATCAAATGCCCTTTAACCTACAATGGAGCCGGCGCTAAGCTCTCATGGGTTACCGTGGACTAACCAGCTGGAGAGAACAATGAATAAAAGGCAAACATTCCGTAAGCTTTTCCCAATTCAGTTACTGATGTACTCATTTTGATTATCGCACAAGAAGGTTCTTAGGTTATTCCGTACGTACAGTCAACTTTTAGAAAGGGCAATTGGTGAGGACAGTGGGCTTGACGTTACAAATCAGAGTGAGTTAAAATTCCACTTGATAATTCGTTGCTTGAGGAGCCAGTCAAGAGGTTCGAAAATGTGATGTAGATCCCGTGATTGAAGGATGTCTTACAATTTATCCTGTTTAATTGAAGTTACTCACACTCCATGACCACTCATGGCCAAATGGTTAAGTGGTCAATGTGCTAGCCGGGAGATAATGATTTCTTGGCTCCCTTAAGTTTTGTGAGATGCGCACATCACACATTCAGTTGATGTTACGCGTGAACGTAAGTCTCCAGTTAACATCAAATTCATTTATAAATGAGCGCATGACCCTATGTCTTGGTTCACATTTTTTGTACGTTTTTGGCATGTATTTGGATGTATTTTGAAAGCCATAATTCTGCACAGAAAATTTAAAAACGCGCGCATGAACGCATACGTCTAACATTATTGTTGTAGCATTTGATGCATTTCAAAATTACATTTTTCTTGCAATTCAGTGTCACAAATGTTCACCGTCTGCAGTCACATGAGACACTCTAACGTTGAATTCGAGCATTAAACCCGGAGGTAAATCCTTCCTTAAGCGCTTCGCATTATCTTACCACAGGTTAAACTATACTTCCTACGCACCCAGAGCACTTATTTGAAGAGCAACTTTAATTGTGTTCTAGCTGCGAATGACACAAAACAACCTAATAATGTTCGCGATGATGTTTGTGACTCTACCGTTTACTGGAAAATACTTTCAACCCTTTTATAACAGAACAGAATGCCCGCATCTGAATGCGCGAAATAACAATTAGGTTTTAGCACTCACAATTACGGTGTACAAAAGGCAAGCAACACCGATGGTCCAACAGATGTAAGCTGGATATTGATTGGCAACTTTCTGACCAGCTAGCAGATACTTGTCAGCAACTGGGATTATCGCTACTCCGTGATAATAAAAAACGGGGGTAAACGTGACCCGTTGCAAGTGGAAAGCACACAGCCGCGCGCAAGAAAGCATTTGAGAGAAAACCGTCATAAACTGTGAAGTGTAATTGGATGGAAGATAGTGGAGACCATTTAGACCCGACATTCCTCAAGCTGTAATCCACTTCAGAAAACTTTGTGTATGTTCCCACCATTCTCGTACATTGCTGACCATTGACTTACGAGGCTGCCGTTTTACTGTTTTCCGTTTTTTTCACACTCATGCCTGTACTTTGCAGGCCACTCAGCAATGCAACGCTTATGAATGCGGTTCATAGCCAAGCAGTCCAGTCAGAATGGGGAGTGTACCAAAGAAGGTTGCAAGATGAGAAAAATCCTGATTAGACAGAGTTCTCCTCGATACACACACACATTTTAGCTCCTTACTTACTCACTTATGTTTGTGTAATTCCTGTTCAGTTAGAGCCCTCTAAAACAAGTGCTGCTGTCCACCGTGACCTTCAAACAAAAACAGCCTAAAATTATAAACACCTGTCCTTTTCGCGTCTTTAAATTTATCACATACTGCTAGATATTTTGTGAGTTCAGGCTGGCATAGATAGAACAATCTACTAAACTGTGAGCGTTCGTGTGAGATGGACCACCAAAGCCAACTTTCGAAACTTTTAGCTGCACTTAGCAAAAAAGATCTTTTCTGAATACCATCAAGAAGCGTTGAAAAATCTTACGTCATCGGTGAGGATTTGATTAAATTAAAACTTACAGGTAAAGAAAGCGGCGAAGAAAATACAATAGCCACCAATGCCATGGCTTTAGAATAAACCCAATCGTAGCAGAGTAAGCGTTTGATTGAAAGAAAAGACTAAAATGTTCCATATCAAGCACTCTGCAAGGTCTGAGTGTTAACGTCTCTCTAGCGAAAAATCCGTAGTAATTGGTCGTGTTCAATGAAACGAGTTAAGTATAACACATCAGTCTTTTAAACAGAGACCGCAACGAACAGATGGGTTTTGTCTCCGGGTGCTTGCAATTTCGCCTTCAAAGTTCAAAGACACCGGTATGATCTATTAAGGATATTGTTGTTTCATTTGAATAAACCTTTTGTATGGGATGTACTGCGTTTGTGAAGCGAAGGTGAACATATCATGTTACCGTGCCGTAGTGTAATATTCAAAGTTATCAAGAAACGTTTCAGGGTAATTGTCCAGGCCTTACCCTAGACATATCCGCTTTTAAAGTAGATAGTTGAATATGGTCTCGAAAGCGCCACATAAAAGGTACATTTTAACTTATGGAATGCACGAGTCCTTCAAGTTATCATTGAACAAAGCCTTTCACGACTAGCTCACCGGTCATAACGAGAAGTTTTCTTTTTCCTCAACTTGGGCTCCGGTGCTTGAGGCGGAGTAACCGATGGACGCTGCGTGCGTGCAACATACATGTAGACCGGTCCAGTATCAGAAACCTGAGGCTCCCTCCCAGAGTTAGTTTTGGATATAAAAGTAACATCATCATTCCAAGAAGGGCGGATAAACTTCGTTCTGGGAGGTGGATTGATTAATTTTACCTCCCTGTACTCACCCGAAGGCAATTGGATAATCCAATCATGATGTTCCGCGTGGACAGGCATGGGGACTATGGGAGATGGAGAGCGAACTTCTTCAACCAGCGTATGGGAGAACGTGCTTGCAGATGGCTCTGTCCTCACCGGAACTACCCTCTGAATGTAAGATACGTTGTTGGGAATTTCAGGTGACGATCCTGGATCGTAGATCTGCAAGGAAGAGGCACTCCGTGTACGTTCGATTAACAGGGGAGATTGTACAACAGGTTGCATTATATCCCAGCGTGATTGTCGCTGTGTGATCAGTGGAGTTTCGTAGGATGAAAACACAGTTTTTGTTACGCCATTAACGTATCCCCTACCGTTGTACCGAGAATAAGACCCATCGGACTCAGGTGTAGATTCACCTCTGCCGTTTTGCTCGGGATTGTGAAGCAAGCATTGAGGATCTGATCTGGCCTGACTTACCAGCCGTTGTGCTGAGTTGACATCAGATGCATCCCTACATGTGTACGTTTCGTAGCTGCGTTTTCCAGTGTGCTCCTGTTCAACACAAAGCATGAAGGCATTTGGTTGTGAAGGAAATCGATAAAAATGTTTTATTTCTCGATACAGTGTACATTCACCCCGAGTATTGCCTGTTCTCCTCTTGTAGCGAATGCGATCCACCAAGAAATTCAGTGTACCAGACGATTTCTTTTTTCTTAGATGGCCCTCCAAAATGGCGCTTGCTGTACCTTCCGTAAATAACTCGTTACCTCGTAGGATAGTGCGCCCCATTTTCTTTGCATCAATTTCGCTCAAAAGCAACTGTTTTGTGATGGCGTCCACAAGCATCCCTTCCCCCGTAGGATAGCTCGATCCTTTCCTTCCACGCGACAGGCTTCGTCCGTATGGCATGAGTCACTTGGTTACCGGTTTTCCACTCAACATGTTTGAAATACCTTAACAAACCAGGCTATGTCTCAGCATCATACTGAGCTTGTATAGAGCCTCGATTTCCTATTGGTCAGTTGCTGTCATTGGCTGCTGTGGACGACGAATAATGTGCGTGGTTTGCATTCCGAAGTCGAAATTCCTGTGACAGTGTGTCTGAATAAGCATGGAAACTCTACAGCAATAAAAATACAGCAGCGCAAACTGAGTCCATCTGGGTTATTCCGTCTGGAATCTTTTCGGGAATAGGCTGTCCTCCTTCCAATAAAACATAATTGCAAACTGAATTAATGACAAACTGATTAATTTAACCCTAAACTTTCAAAATCATCTTTCTCCTGTGACATCTGGTATATATCCACCAAATAGTATGCACACTAAGCTAAGTTGGTTTTTTAAACAACCAAAATGTGATTTGAAAATACGTTCATAACATGGACCAGAAGGGCAATACCCATTTATAATTTCGGTGCCTAGTTGCCATGTCACCCAGATGAAGTATGACAGCTGACATGGTGCCAGATTACACAAGCATAGATAGAAGCGGTTGGCTTGGTTCGAACCAGGGGCGTTCCGCACAGTGATTTCCAGCCCTAGTCATTGTCCTAAACTCCCCTTGTTTACAAATTTTTCGGTGATCCGCGCATGGTCTGATACTTTTTTTAAATTTGCCCTCATATTCAACATAATAAGAGTAGACAGCGGAAAGATATGTTACGATAATACATTTTCCCATGCAGTCTTAGCAGAATGTCGTTTATTCCCAGCATTTGCTTAGCGCGTTTTATCATCATTTAATGCTTTGATTTTCTAAGAAGACGGCTGCATCCAATTCTGTTGAAATCACTTTATGATCTGGTGTATCTCAAGAGGCATAACGGTGAAGAGATGATATTGCCTTCTTGAGGACCAACTTCAGGGTAGAAGTATCTGTGTCGAATGCAACTCTTCTGCTGTATAATCAAAAGCAGGTTTTAAATTCTAGTTAGAAAGCAGTTTACTGATTTGTTTTTCAAAAATTCGCGAATGAATTTCTTTCCTTACTTTGGCTGACACTGTGGATTGCCGCCTGTGCGCTACAGAGGAAAGCACGAAATCATACATGTATGTCATCACCAGATGGACTAAAATCATTCATCTCTCTCTGGCAAAGTTGTAGGCGATCCCTTTTCCGTGGGTAAGACAGCACCGTTTCGGGATCACACAGAGTTCTTTTATTCCCCGCAATCAGCAGAGATCATTAATATAAAGCAACAGCGCTGTTTGGAATCCCGATTATTTAACAAAATTACATGACACTACTGTTCAGAATTCGCTCCTCAGATTAGTTTGCAAAGTGCTCACACGGGTGAACCCTAGTAAATTTGTGTGAATAAAGAGCTGGCCATCTTGTCCTGAAACAAAGTATTCAGTATTGCGCTGATGGACAAGAATGGTCAGGCTAATAAAGTGAAACCTGGTGTGGGGTACCGAAATAGATTTAGTCTTCACTGAAACAGGAAAGAAAGCTCCATGAAGGTAGAGATTAGTGTATAGAATCTGATAAAGTATCCTTCACTTCAGAAAAGTGTACAGACATGTCTGTCGTGTCATTAAAACCACTGCGCTCTGGCTGATAACAAAGATAAGAATATGCTAAAATGCCACTGCGGCCTACTCAAACTATTACCAATACGCCTTACCTCAGTTTATTACAGTGGATATAAGTGAACCCGTTACTTGAGCCCGTTTTGGTAACAGTTCACCCAGAGACGGCTCTCATCAGCAAAAGTTATTACCGCGGTGGCGGGATTTTGTAGAATACATGCTCACATGACTCTCGTTTTGACCATCGTCCTACTGCCCTGGTGCGATCACTCTTGTGAGTTCACACCAAAGAGGGCAGGCACTGAACACGAGTTTCGGTATCAGTAGTGCACATCCAATGGTCTAGCCGGGGTTTGAGCTCTGCACATGTGACATGCGACCGTCTTCCCGCTACTGCACCAGCGCACGCTGGATGCTTCTGAATTTTCACGTATGAACAGGCGAACATTCGCTTTACTTCTCATCTAATCCTTCAAAGGGAACCAGTGATTTGATATTCAGTCATTCCAGCCCTATTGCTGTTCCCTAACGCCACCTCTGCGCAAACAAACGGATCAAGTTGTAATGGATAGTTCCCTTGACCCCATTTCCGTAGATATATCTGTGTCCAGGATAGAAGATGAAATATAATAGGCAGGGTATTCCAGATGCTACGCATATGACACATTTGCTTATAGAATTCATGCATTCGGGGAAAGTGCCAGATAGGCTGAATATTAAATTCAGGACAAGGGAAGATAACACTTTTTGCTTTTCTGAACTGCTACTTGATCAGGGATAAGGGGGTCAGCTTCTATGGGAGTTCACCATCGTCACATCGATGCTGATCAGCCGCTCGTCGTCAAACAGTCAAGGGTTCAAACTGCAAATACAGCTAATGGAGCGTGCAAATGTGTGCACCAAAATAGTGTGTTGGCCATCCTTTGCTAGTAAACATCCAAGGATAGGCAATTAAGAGGTCTACTAGAACCATGGATGTGTGCCATATCTTTAGAAATTGCGAAGCTTTCTCAGCTTGACACAAGAAGTGGTTACAGTACGACGGAACACATGATTTTACGGCCAGTAGGTAATGGCAGTGCCAGCGTTTGTTCTACCTTGTTGGAATTTACGAGCAGAACTTGAATATTTCCTCTTCTTAATAAGTGTTATCATCCACCATGCTCCACTTTGACTCGTCCAATACTTATCCCCCATGCTTACTCTTCGTGCATGCTCCACCCTGTAAAAAATATTAATTTCTGACAAAATACACTATTTTGCATATTACGTTGAGGTTTATAGAAGATTCAAATGAATCAGAGACAAGTACATCATCTTGATGGTTCATTGTTTAGATCGAAAACATACTGACCGGAAGGTCCGTGGTTCGAACCCGACCTCTCCTCTCGACTTCCCCTGGCTAGGCTTGGGCAACCTGGAAGTATACCAGCCCTCATGTTCTATTTGGGTTGCATGATAGTTGGGCACCGAAAAGTTGTCAAGGCCGAACGATTACTATTATTACTAAAGACTTGAACTAACATCAAAACATGAGATCGACGAAAACCCAGGGACTATGCCTCTGATCTGCCTCAAGTTAGGCCAACCCGGCAGTCAGCTGTGGGGGTTTTCAGAAACATAATGAGCTGCGTGACATGTAAGGAAAATATTAACTCCTGTTTTCAAGCTTTCTATACAGCCTTTCCAATGTACCTTAGTCATTATTACCTGGTTTTATCTTGGACTCAGTTACCACGAAAATATTTGAGTTCACACAATAACATCAGCTACATAACTCAGAATATTATGATTCTACCGCAACAAGTGGAATAAACAGATATTCTGATAGTCCTTCCATGCGTCAAGAAAACATCTGACCTATTCGTAAACTTGTTACAGTCAGAAGGAATCGTGGCAGTACACCAAGCAAATGCCATCTTGTGAAGAAGAGTTTCTGGACAGGAGGAAATTGTCCAAGAACATAAACGACAGTCAAGGAAAACTCGTTATGCAAGTAAACGAACATCCAGAGGCCAAGAAATCCCCGAATAACTGTTCCCGATACCCATACATCCCTGCAGGGAAGTTCACCGCTTCAGTTTGGTAAAAGCCAAGGTCCTGGCGAGTGTAACAGCGAACCGAGTTAGGTTAAAATGTACTCAATCGGCCCACATATATATTCTACCTTAACTACGTAATCCCGCAAGAAAATGAGCTTGGGATAAGGAGTTCTCTCATCTAAATTCACATATATATATGAGTTCTGGTTTACAATACTTTTTAAAGTTCGTGGACGCTCCTTCAGGCCATTCAAGCGAAACGGAAGTTTAATTAAAGGTGTTAATCCGCGTTTTTGTGTGGCTTGTGCGTTTGCGGAAAGTGACGGAAACACCAGGAATTACAACCAAGTATCTTATATGAGGCCTTGTTGCATCAAATGCTTCGGTGAAAGCTTCTCCAATGCACTTGCTTGTGTTCCCTTAGCTACAGCGAGTGAGGGTCGTGTTCAGTTCGTGATTTCCTACTGAGAATAGTATGACTGGGGTTTTACCATAAGATCGGAGAAGCTCACTTTTAGGGAAAAAGATAATATTTTTCGGCCTGATTGCGCTGTTCCCTGAGACACGATGGCAGAACAATGAGCATGAACATCTACCACTTGTTTGGCACTTTATACTGGCGTCATCTGCCAATTCCTTCATTCTTAAACGTAATAAGCCAAGTCACATTTTATAGTAGCCCAGACATATTCCCGAAGATCCCATGTGGCTCATCTTTTTGATAGTAATGGAAAACCTGCAGGTATCCTATTGATTGCGGTTAATATCCCTACTTTCATGCACCCTCAATGTAATAGGATTATGACGACAGGCGGTGTTTATAAATTTCGCTTTATTTGTCTATCTATGATGCGACCACTTCTCGCACGGTTGGTGATTTCGAGATCGGAAAACCAGATATCAGAATACTGATAGTTACTGGTTGTCCTGTAGATCAGGCCCAGTTGTTTACGATAAAAATTAGAGGGCTTCAGTACAGTGATCACGCAGAGCGCCCATAGTACCCAAACATGCGCATGCGAAAGTCCTGGTTTTAATGGGGAGATTGCGTATCTACTAAATGGTGCACATGTTTTGCAAAACTTATACTTACCCTCTACCAAGCTTATCACAATTACGTAAATAACCAATCTTCCGTCTTTGCTATCCTAAATTGAACGTTGTAACGTATGAAACAAACTAATGACCATCTCAGAGTCAGAATCTTGGGTATGTTTAGGTCGAATTCACTTTTTTAGGTGACCGTAGATAGACTGTCCCATCATGCGGTATTACGCTACGTTTTTCATGTGATCTAAGTAACGAGATGGCCTGTGCATGAAGAATACGGTGTTTGGGTTTTAGCCTGCCTACTGATCTCAGGACACTTTTGTGTGTAAACTTTTAAAAAGTTTACTACGTACCCGAACCCGAGAAAGTCCGAAAACACACAAGCGTGAGCACAGCACAACTGACCGACTCAGTACCTCGTCTTTAGCTGTGTGCAAGCGGTTGTTGCCTTATATGTATTTTCTGAGCCGGCGGAATGTTGTGCTAGCCATCGTTGTTCATGCACGAAATTCACTATTAAGCATGGAGTCTCTAGATAACATGCTGCTAATGTAGTACAAATCCGTATAGCACTCTATCTCAGCAATTCATTGTGATCTTTCCGTATTTACTGTTGAGTCATGATGTGAGATGATAAAAGATGAAGGTTTTGGAAAACCTTCATATTCACACCTATTGAGAGGCTGTCCAAATTAGATGTTGCGATTCTACTTCAGAAGGCGGAAATATGATGCTCTTGTCCTTAAAAACCAGCAGACATTCATTGAGTTTGCATAGTAGATTTGATAGACAAAGGCTTTGGATCGAGATGTCACAGATGTGCGCAGATGATTTGCTCCTATAGGTTAACCACGGTCTTACTGCATTATCTATCTCGAACCTAGTGGAAACAGTCTCATATTGGGACTTTCATTCCAGCATGAGGACTTTTGCTTCTCTTTTGACTGAGACAAAGGAAATGGTGAGGGTCAGAACCAGCAGATGCACTGCTTTAGAACACTTTTATTGTGATTACCCAATCTCATCCTAGAAGCACCCATTGGTCGTCCACACCTCTTTCGTCTTCATGCAAATGCCTAGTTTAGTGAACCTTGTCTGTTTTGTACAAGAGGCTAGTTTCCTGGCGACTACCTGTCTTTTGTCAACTAACGGCACTTTATGACTAAATATTTTTCGTTGCCTCTGTATTCCTTTGGTACTTTTTCCATCTGCTAGACTGTGTTTAGTGGGTGGAAAAGTGTGTTACTTGGTCACAGTTATCAAGACATATAAAATTCCTCTGGCAAGTTTTACAGCCACTCTTCCCGGAGGTTGCAACTCGTTTGCATGAATCAGGGTTTTCACTATGGCAGTTAGACCAACTAACTATTTCTTAGTTGCATGTTAGGGTAACCCAAGTACGTAGCCCACATTCACCTTTGTTGGCAGCCTGAGAAGTGTTGATAAGCTGTGTTTTGCTTTTCATTCAGCCCGACTAGATTGTGCTAAAGGGGATCTGCTGTCTTTAAACAACAAGCTTCGTGTTCAAGACTCAAAGTCCAACATACCATTCACTGCTGCTATGTTGTTAACGTCACAATTCTGAAAGGGGAGAAGGCCAAGTTTTCGATGGCTATGGAATCCAGTCAAAACAAATATATCAATATCAGAGAAAGGCAATTTTTATCTTTCACCTTATTCTACCTTATTCTCATCTAAAACAGTAGTGTGACGAAGTAAAATTTTGTCATAGAATCATCACTAATGAAATGCTTTCTGTTCACCTCAATAAGTAATGTAGTTCTGCCTCCTTATGTGCGACAGACCAATGACTGATAATTTACTGGTTCATCGCGCTCAAACAGTTTGGTGGGAAAGATTGCCTTTTAACAGTGGCAAGGGTTGCTTTTGCTGATTCCTCTCTTGGTTGGAATTCGCACTCCTTTCCCTGTGTGCACCATCTATTGTAGTAGGCCCTTCCGTCAGTCGTGGCACGATGAATATAGGGTTCCTCGTCTCCGTTCCAATCACCTCCGTTTGAAAAAAGCAACCGTCAAAAAGTATCTTTGAAGGTCTTTCAACCACTATTCATTAAGACGTTATGACCCGACGGCTGCGCAGCTAATATAACGACATGAGTGTATATGCGACGGCACACGAACGATTATTGCTAAGGCATGGGCGCTATGTTATTACCTTCCCTGATCTCGGTGTGCTGAGCGTTTTTATTCCGCAGTTCTTGAAGGGATTGTGAATACAACAACCTTTTATGAACACCGATTGAGGGGTTAGGTACTCACGGTTTGCCGATAAGCTAAGCCACCATAACCCACTAGCATCACCGCACACGATGACTTTCTAAGTTAGCGTTGTCTGTATGTCAGCCTACATTTTCGCATTTATTGAATCATACTATGAGAAATTTATCGACTGAAGTGTTAATGTCATAGATTTTATGCGGGCAAATATCCCTTGGAGAGAGGAAATCCGGCGCAGCTATTGCTCCCTTGTTCTCACTTTTTTACAAACATAAAGGAGGGTAGCTGTGGTTTGAGGTTATGTAATTATCTAGTTGAACTACTTATGAGTAGTTCCACGTCTATTGCACCAAGCAAGTAACAGCACTCTGTATTGACAAGCTGGTGGAAAATGCAAGGAAAGCCATATTAGTAGATCAACATGTGCTGCACGTGACCTTCGAAAAATTCAATACCGGGTGTACATCACCCAGCCACCTACTGGCATAGTGAGAGAACGAGAGCTGTAGTGGATGCAACGGGTGGGTGGATGAACAATGACAACTGATGGTGAATTCTGGAATTGGAAACGGAGACCGCCGTATTGATTGTGTAGCCAATCGATTGACTGACTGAGCTACGCTGATCAGCACATAAGTCATACAACGATTGCACAATCGTGGAGAACATAAGCACTGTGTTGAATGCACTCAGCTGTGTGAACCTCGAAATGAAATGAGCTGAAGACCAGTGACGACGTGATCCCTTGATACGGTAGTGCAGAACAACCACAGGGATATCCGTGTAGCGCAGAACAGACAGGCTTTTGAACCGATTTACTCGTATGAACTGGAATGACTGTCAAGCGTCGCGGAAAAGAGGACGACAAGTCTTCAGTAATACAAACAGAACGTGGTCAGAACGTTGACAAGAAGACCAAACAGCTCTTGTTTTTTCACTGTGAGATGGAGACCATCAAGCAAGTATTTCTCAAATCAAGCGAGGAATTTTCGCAAACAGGTGCCAATCGTGTGTATGAAAAGTATTACAAAAAGCGACAGTCCAAATGCAAAGCCTATTGTTTGATTGACCGCATCCGGTTTCAAAAACGTGGATCCATTGGCTCACATCCATTCAGAAAAGAGTTGACCTACAGAGAAATAAAACATTTTTTTGTTTTTCCATCTAATCCGTCCGTGTTTATGCTGTGCACAACCAGCGAGAAAAACGGGAAAAGAGCATACGAAGCGTTTCGTTGCGCTCCAGAATGCGTTTCTGTTATATGTGATTTAACTTACCGAGCTTCTACGGATCCGCAAAATATCCTTCGTGGATTAGCCCTGGCTGACCATAAATACTCGAATGGATACGGGAAGTCGTACATTTCAAACTCAGAGTTGTACTTAGATGGAGATCCTTTTGAGTCTGCCGCTGATCTGAGATCACACGATGATCTTCTGAGTTGTGATCCACACATGATCATTCCGGGCACACCAGCCCTCGGTGCCTACTTGGAAAGCAGCTCATCATCCGACTTTTTGCCACGTAAACCAATGGATCAGTGTGTTCCACAAAAGTCAAGTTCTTTGAACGCCATTAATGTGAGCAATACTCATAAAGAGAAAACGGTGACCGGCGTGTACAGCTACTACGAACTACACGAACCAGAGCATAGGTCACCGTCTCCAGGGGATTCCAGACTCCGAATATCTCATCCATCACCTCACCCCTTGAGCAACAAGCAGATAGGTTATAAAGAAGTTCTGACGATTTCACCACCGTTCGATATGCTGGATAAAGACTCACCCATAAGAGAAAAAGCCCAGATTGTTCAGGGCAGTATGAAACATTTCAACACCAGTCCTAAGAATCAGTTGGTCTCGATAAAATCTCGTCCAAGAAGCCAAGACGAACTAGAATACAATGAAGTGAAAAAAACAAACCGTATTATTATTGAGCGTGACATTGACAACGGTCACAATCTAAACGTCAACCAGCGAAGGTCAATGTCAATCCAAAACCTGCTGTGGGGCGACGAGGTGACATATATCAGTTCAGACCCAACAAAGGGAATAAACGTGACAGAAAATGGTCCAATATTCATGTACATCACAAGATACGCAAGTCAGCAAGACCTAAGCTCAATAAAACACTTGAACTGCCATTTTAACAAATCATCCAACCTTTATTCGTTTACAGAAGAGGAATTTCGTTCAAACGACTCCGACATCAAATGAATTTTCATCTCTCAGACTAGATGTGAGCTGAACTGTAAAACTGTTCAATTTTGTAGATATACAATCATTATTGCATGCCTTGAACGGTTCGATATTTTTCCGTTGCTGTCGGCTAATGGAGTTGAGGACTATTTATAATTAGTTTCTCAGTGGATGTATAGTTAGTCAGATGGCTTTTATGCTGTTGGTCATGAGGCCTTATCCACTAAATAGTGATCAGGTTAAATACTTACTTGTACGTAACCGAAAACTTAAAGCTTTAATGAGCAGTGGAATCAAATTTATTATGTCTATATTTCCTGGCTTTACACGACAAGCCTGACATTTGAAATATGTTTAACCCCGATAACTTGGCAGTCATATGTCAGTCGTATGACAGCGGTATTACCCATTATTATCCAGCACATGAACTGTCAAGGAAATAACGTTTTCGTTGTTCCGCTTATGCTTGTTCTATAGTTGTTTGCTCTCGTCTCAGTTCTTATACTACCCAATTTGTCAATGATCGCTGAGCTCGGGTTTCGAAACAATTCAGTAGCTCCTCCTTCTGGAAAGAGATTGATTCTCAGGTATCGCGCGAATTACCGTACGATTACGACTTTTGGGGAGAGGCTCCTTGGTTAACCACAAGAAAGTAACTGGTTTGTAATTATTCGCGACCTGTGAAATTGTTTTCATATCAAAATCTGCCATATTTTTATTTGACCTCCAAGTCCTAATTTAACTAAATCCAATTGAGTTATCCACCGATGGCTTAGTGACAGTAAAAGTTACAGCAGCAATCGATCTTGAAAACGCAGTCGAATTACACATAACCTGAGAGCCCAAGGACGTCTGAGCGTGTGGCTGTTAACTCTATTTGCATAACCTTTTCCAGCATTCTGACACTAATGACCAATCAAGGAATGCATCAGATTTTTAGGTTAATTTACGAGCATAATGTCATCTCACTCTCAACATTTAGTTACTGAATGTGCTCCTGGATTTTTAGACGCAACTTGGCGAGAACGAACATACAGAAATCTGGTGGACATGACAATGCCATCAGAAATCCTTCAGTCAGGTTAGAAGTCTCTGCATCAGCCACTTCAACCATAGCGGTCTTCTTGACGGCCTTCGAAGCAGTTTTCTTCTCTTATCTGTTCATTATTCCTATGTTTTATAATACAGGGTTGAAGAGTAACAGGGCGCGATCACATTCAGAACTCAGTGGGTGTTGATCCGGTCACAATCTGATAGCCGGATAAATGGCATGAAATAAGGGATGTAAGAGGTCGGGTAAAAACCCAATAAAAATCCACGTGACTTGAGACATGTATACATATGTGCAGTTAACAACTCCTTTCCGTGGGGTGGATGAACTGAGGAGATTTCTGACCCGGCACACAATGGATTTGGGTTTCCCTCAAATACTATATTCACCGAATCTGTTTAGTTTCCAGGAAACTGGATGAACTCGAGACCTAATATCTTATAGTACCATTGTCAGCACTCTTCGAGCCATTAAAGAAAGGTCCTTAAGATAGAAAATGGTTGTTACAAGCAAAGTGTATTGGCTCAGTATTTCCTGGTTGTTTTTTTTCCTGCAAAAACTTATTGAATCGTTACAAAGCAACATAACTTCACAATATACCACACCTCTGCACGTTGCTGTTTCCCTCAAAACACCAGAGAATGATTTCCTCATGTCTATTATTCCCTTATGGGGCTTGTAAGATCAAGTTCTAGGATTGAGTTACTAGGTTCTGATGGCGCTAACTACAAGGGAATAGCAAAAACCATGAATTCATGTCTGCAAAGATAAATCTTGAAGACTTTGTCACGGCATGCCAAACATATAATTTTACACATGCCCCTGTACTTAGCTCTGCTCCTTAAATCTAGTATATGTTTGCAACCTTCTTGGTCTCATTCTTAGGTCTCGAAAAACTGCAATCATCCTTGTGTTTAGCTAATAAACGGCTGCTAGTCTGTCCTACCATAAACTGGCAGATAGTTTTTCGACAAACGTTTGGTTGACACTTTCAACCGTTCTTTGTTGTGTGAATGCGGGCAGATCGTTAAATACGGAAAAAATCTCACTAACCGATCAACCCAAATATCAACTGCTGAGCGCAATCACAGCACGTTTGATTTTCATAGACTGTCAGTTGAATAAACGTAGACAGACTCTATAACTCCTAGTCGAGTAGGAAGAACCAGAATAGTTTGCGTTGACTAAATGAATATTTTTTTGATTCAAAACTGAATAAATATCATTGTGCGACTCACTTTTCGTCGCGAACGTCTGAGCTTGTTTGTAGATAGTCCTCAAGCTCCAAGGTGCATATTTTCAATTCGTATTATTCATCTTGATATAACTGACATTAGCTATCACATTGAGAAAATTCTGCAACAAAAACCATTTTGCCATTTTAACGAGCTGTATTGGCGCAGCAAATCATACTTATTTCAGGGACAGTTTAGTGAGCTGGTGTCTTAGGGCACTGGTGAAAACAAGAATGCTGAGGCTGCAGGACTGCAAAGGGTACACTAGGGAAAATTTGTTTCCATACCAGAGGTTCCAAGTTACGGTAGGATTTATAAATCAGCTTTGCTAACAACCGGAATCTCATGAACCAAGGATGGAAATCAAGTAGCTGGTATATTAAAAATAAGCGCTGCTTGTGCTATGTGACACAGTGGAGTATGGATTGGATTTGTAATTTTTCGGTCACTAACTTGCTGTAGCGCCCTGTTGACAAGGCTTTTGTCCTATCTCTCAACTATGAACCTGCTTTCCGGAAAATAAATCATTACTCACAATGACTGTTGAAGTTAGGTAACGTCTATCCGTCTTGTGGAATGGTGAATTTGGCTGGGGTGAAAACAGTAGTAAAAGGCCGCAAATATCTATTTAAATATAGCATTAGAAACCTCGATGCGCATGCAGGGTGACATAAACAGAACATAGTGAATTCTATTTTTTAATAAACTTGTTTTATTACGATACACGCAGCAGGCGGCAATCGTTCTTTTTTCCACGGTCCCAGCGCGTGCACTTCTCATTCAAGACTGAATGTTTAACTTGAGTCAATCTGTATTGCGTCACTGCCTCACAGCACACAATCAGGTAACTTCCTTTGGTATTACTGAGCTAAAGATCACCACAATTTGTTCTTTCTTTAAATATGGTTTATTGCCAGAAGATAGAGAGGTACATCTATAGCTGAAACTTGATAAATCCTCAAGTTATGGCTTACTTCATCTTTGATTTGGTGTTAGGCACGCTGATACGATTCCGCTGAAAATTCTTTGCCTAGCCAATAACGCTACTGCCCCCAAACTGCGGTTTATAGTATATCCACTTCTGGTCCATCCACTTGTCAATCGGAAGCAAGAAGGCCAAGCCACTATACTACACATATAGTACATGAGCCCACCGTACAATAAATAAGATGACTTTTAAGCGGTCAGTCCTGTTGGAAGCGCAATATACCGAACAAAATCTACATAGGCACAATCAAGAATCAAAAGAATACCCACGCTACCATGCAGTAATGATGCCCCCTCTAATGGCGACGAAACATCTTCAAGTAAATTACTGTGCTCAGGAAGACATCTGCCACCAGCTGACCACTTACTCACAATCTACGCCTCAGCAGCATTTCGCCCCACAAGTGATACCACAATTACCGATTTTTGTAAACGTAAGAGGGCGAATCCAGCACTTACTGTGCTACAAGCAACAAATGGATGAAAGTAAACGTTTTAGTTTATGTGGCTAAGTCTTGCAGGTGTGCTGCCAGGCTAGTCAATGCCCGTGACGATGGAAGCAATTATCCATAGAGCAAAATAGCCAGGATCGTAGATGAAATATTTGTCAAAAACTACGTCGGAAAGGATGCTCTGGTCAAAATATCCAGCAAGTTTACGAGGTACTTTTTGTCGGTTACTGGCGGATTAATGCTTGTTGACCTCGATGACCAAAGAGACTCCAAATTTATGGTGTCATTTTGACTGGGTGGCCGCCTCTTGGTCATTCTGACCAGCAAAAAGCATAAGTAAGTGTGATATAAAGTTCACCAATCGTAAAGTGAGTCCATAGTATGAACAAATGTCCGCCTTCAGTTTCACTGAGTCCTTTATAAAGATGAGAGTATGGTACAAATGGAATAACTTATTCAACATTGGACTGCATAGGAATATGGGTCATCTTTGGCTTTCTATTGCTTGTTGACGCTCACAGGTCTCCTCGTCGAACTTCCTAGGAATTCTCTTTTGAAGACACGAGTCGGACGTTTGCGTGACAGTTTCTGCACAGGGCTATAAAGTTAGATTATAAAAGTTTTGTTTCTGATAGATACAGTTAACTGAATAGGATAGGTTAGTTCATTTGTTTGTCGTTGATGGCCGATAAAAACATACAATAAAGCGCAGTAAACATACAAGCTAGAGACATGTTTCTTCCCGAAAAGTTTAGCTTAATGTGTAGGATACAAATATCATCCCAAATCTAATATCGGAACCTTCTTCATCAAATGTTCTTGCCATAACACTTTCATATACGTTGTTGTAATCAAATTTACGGAGGACTTAGGGAGTTTATTATAGATATGAATGCCCATGTCTGTCCGTATTGAATTTACGCTTAACTGATCAGTATGATGCAAACTCACTTTTGAAAAAACCGGAAGTAAAGAGTGTACATATGATCTCATTGGCCTTGTCATACTTGTTATTGCAGATGCATCCAGAGTACGCTTGCGGAGTAGAGGTGAGCCCTCCCACGGCATGTGTGATGCCCGGACTGAGCTCCAGGGAAAACTGGGTTATATGCCGCTGTTATGGTCTACCAAGAGAAAAACTCGACTGCATAGTTGAAGACTCACGGGAGTAATTCCATCGGGACAGTATAAGGACTGTGAGAAGTGGATGTGGAATTTATTGCGATTGCTGAAAGCACTTTGCAAGGGTGGGTATGAAAACTCACGACAAACAGCTATCATCCAACAAAGAGA